AGTATATTAGTTCTCAGAAATAGGAACTGATAAAGGGTAAGTACAATGCATACAATGAAGAGACAGACTATATTATTCGAGACGTTATTCTAACTATAAAGTAATTTTTGCCACGATTTGTTGTGGATTTTATCAAAATAGAGTACAGAAAATATAATGAATCTACAGATTGATGTTGTAATCATAAGCATTTTACTACCAATAGAACTGAGCATTGGTCCAAAATCCACCAATAAATTGAGACTACAGTATGGGATTCTTCAAAAAAAGTTTATAAAGGTTTCTTCAGAGTCATCCATAGACTACAATGACTGTTTACCATCAGACGGACTGCATGCTTGCCACCTTTGTAATATAAAAAACTAAAAACAAAAAAAAATACAGTGTAATCGGCTGCCAAGAGAATGTTGGAACCTTTAATGTTTTTTATCATCTTTCGACCCATATTTCGTTGTCAAACATGTTAAATTTCGTATACTACTTCCTTAAGGATGCCCCGTAACGATTTCGGTTACAAGCTCTTTAATATTAGGATCCCAAGCGATTCGTCATCACGTTGGTTAAACATAGTTCACTCTTGACCGTTTATAGGTACTTCTTATTCAAGATATCATCTAATGGACAAAATATCCTGTCGAGTGCTTCAAACCGGCCGTTAGATTAGCAGTCAAGGCCTGTGGAAACTACAATTACTCGGTTATTTCCTCAACAGTAATTGTTCCAACGTTATACTTTTGCTAAATATGGAATATATTGATCAGGAAATACGAATATATTTGTGGCAATTTTGTGTGGGTCGTCTCTTCTGGTTATACTTTTATTACATTTAAAATTTCAAACAAGCTAGTTACTACTCGAGTAAAAAACTACTGTGGCGAGCGCCTACCTCATACCGCGATTAGTAAATTCTCTACCTACCGATTTGCGAAGCGATATCACTGATAAAAACATAACGTTTAAACTAAAAGCTTATTTACTGTCCAACCTTACTAAAATAGCAAAATATTAATGTAAATATTGATATTTCAGAACGAAATGTAAAGTATCACACACAAGCCCAAGAGGTTTAAGTGGTACTAAAAAATCCATAGTTTTTTTAATGTATTTGCATGCTAATTAAATAAAAAAAAAATACCTGCAGTGATAAATTTGAAAATATTTTATTATTAATATGATTATCACCCATTACCTGTCCACTGCTTAACATCATCTCTCTATTGGGGTGTTTTGCCAATAGTTGCCACGCTTGGCATGTAGGTGTACAACTGCAGCTAGGCTTTGGTGGTGTTTTAAGAGGAACATTGCTGCGCATTACTCGACCATTGAATTCCCTTAATGGCCTCTTACGACATGCACGAAAAAGGAAGGTATGGCCCATTCTATACCGCGAGCACAAGGCACGATAGGTTTTACTCCTGCGTTAATTTTGTCACGATTAAAGTTTGTCCTTTTTTACGGAACAAAATCAACATGTGGTGGATACAGTTACTCATGCATATATTTATTTCACCTATTTCATCTATTATATAGATTATTGAGAAGCACTAAATAAGCATATATATTATATATGAAATGATTTTACAACGAAAAATAATGGTCAAAAATTACACGAGTAAAAAGCACATTTGAAGGTTCTACGAGATTCAACAGACAAGACCAATTTTGAAAAAAGAAACACGTTTTGAATAGATGTACTGAAAGATTTTTTTTTATTTTGCCCTGAATGCCCGGTCCTCAAATTTTTGGGTGAACCCCCGGCCGCATTTGACGGTGATTCATCGTGTCTTTGACCTTAATATTTATTACGTGGAGTCAACATTAATGTCCTTCTACTTCATTTAAATTTAAATTGACTTCTAATATTTAGGTTTTTATATTACAGTAGTATGACCCATTAGTGCAGAAAGGAGATGTAGGTATAACTCGAGTCTTGGACAATGTAAAAATTTTTTTTTTTAATTTTTGACGCGGATTTCAGTGATAATGTTTATTAATAATGGAGTTATTAACTTGTTGAGATCTGCCGAATTCTCCCCTTCCCCTCCCCTACAGGTTTTACTTAATACGTTGAAGTATTTTAACCACTTCATGTACTTATTTTTCTGACTAATGAAATATTATGAAATTGTACAAGACCTATTTACTTAGTTAATTATTTTTTCAAAATGATCTCTGATACGAAACGATTTCGTATGAGCGATTAAGGTTCGATATCGATCGATAAATAAAGTATTTCAAGGCGTGTAGTTAAAGTACTCAGTTAAGAGATTATTCCATAAATACAAACAAACAAGCTTTGTTATTTTACACTATCTTTCTGCCCGCCATTTCGTACACGTAGTTTTTAGAAATAGGAAAACCAATGTAATGTACCACTTTAAATGGCGTATTCAAAGTAAACGTACATTAGACATTAAGTTATGGCTTTTGAAAGACAAATATAAAAACCGCATCCAATTTGATTCAGTACTTTTTGCACGATGACGGATCAAAAATGAAGGCAGACAAAATTTCTAAAAATGATTGTTTTGGCTTCTAAAACCCTGAAGATCCCTCATATCAATTTCTCTTAAATAGCCCCCATGTACAGACACCCTCTAATTAATTTTTTTTTTATATTATTAAAATATAATAAATACAGACAAAGCTATATATTATGATGTCAGTGATACATTATTTTGTGTTAATAAACAATATTGTCAATGCCATATTAATTAGCTTTACAATGTTATCCATAATGTGATACATAAATATACAAGGATAAATAAATACCGTTGAAAAACAATATTAATTTTGTGTTACATACATGTTTACATATTTTACCTCTGTCCCATTCGTGTTTCTATCGTGAAGCAGTTGTTTGCATGGCTGTGTTTCGGTTTGAAGGGTTTTTTTTTTAATGGGTGATAATGGAATGGTAACCCCGCCCGCACTATCGGTATACACCGGCGAGGCACCAGTGAAGGATGATAGGTGAGGATGAAGCAGGTCAGTTAACCCATCGTGACGAATTCGACAAGAATTGTTCACGATGGTTTCAAGGGGAAACTATGTGGAGGTCGACCTGATAGAGTGTATTGTTAGCAATGGGTTTATTAGACCCCATTACTAACAATCCCTTCTCCCCCTCCCCCGGTTTCAAGAGTGGGATATGGCAGTGAATTAACAGGGTTGTATCCTGGAATAACAGGAATAACACCTGAGTCCTTAAAAATGGCAACGCATGAGGGGTATCATGGGCAAAACAGTATACTTTGTTATGTTCTATAGGCGACGGTTACCACTTTCCATCAGGTGAGTCGTCAGCTTATTTGCCTTATTGCTAAGTTATTTAAAAAAAAAGTTAATGTATGTATTACCTCCCTGTAATGATGGGGTAGGAGTGAAACTTAACACCCATGCTTGTCAACTTTAGGGTGCCATGTTTGTATAATAAAATAGAACAGTGTTTGATGTGAAGCGGATGTGAAGGAAAATTCAAGCCTATACCAGGCCATCTGGCCAGCCTGATCGTGTACTATATCCACGTTTCACAAGGAGAAACCTGTGACCAACGATGGGAAATTAATGGACGGTCATAATGACGATATGTTTAAATCACATATATAAACAATTTAATACATTATCCCTATAAATTAGTCATTATAAATACACAAAGTTTTGACTCTGTGAATGATTCCCTTTAGGTGGATTATTAAGGCTTTTGCGAAAAAAAATCACTCCGAACGCCACGGCAGTATCGTAAAAAATACGATTCATAATTCTTGTAAATAAATCTTGTATTCCGTCATAATAAATCAAAGCAAGTTGTGGTTTGGAATTTAAAAAAAATGTATATTCTAGATAAAAGAAAAAAAACTGCGGTAGCTAACCCGCCTAACCAAGCGTGACCACTACTGGCAAAACTCCCCCTTATGGGGAAGGCTTATGTTCACCAGTGGGCAATTAAAAAAAATTTTTTTGATAGCATTAAAATATAAAAAATAATATAGAGAATCAAGTAATTACTATCAAACTACAGTTAACCTGTTATAATGGGTGTAAATTGAATGTATTTGCCATTCGACATTCAGTTTATCAAGGACATGAAATAACACATGAAAGGTACTGAAGGATACACCGTACAAAGGATTAATACGAGTATTATTATTGCCGATACTATTGTTATGCCATCATTCATTTGAAGCGTGAATATATATTCAATATAAATTTATTAAAAAAATAAAAAACAATGTTTGTTTATCAACTATTTTAAATCACAAATTTCATACAATTTTGGGATAGATTTTTGAATAATTTTTGTTTATATTATAAGACAAATATTTTTTATGTATGCAGTCACAGGTTGGATCAAACTTATCCGGGAAACTTTCTGAATTATCCCGACACGAATCCTCTGAATTGTTCTCAAATATATAGCATATAGTTACTTATCATATCGGAATTCAAGGATCGAGACAATTTAATTTAAAAACATCCTAACTTATTTGTTATTATTAATGGAATATGGATTTATGTGTCGGTAGGTAAGGTTTCTGTACACAAAGTCAATATTATGACGTATTATAATATTTCCTTTTTTTTGTCGTAAAACAGATAATCTATAAGGATTTCTTTATCATATTATTAATTACTACCTCCAGTAAAAAAAACCACAATAATGATGTTCAAAGAATGTTTGACAAACGTGCCATTATTTCTAAAAAATATTTGAATGAGTAATTTAAATACCGATAGATATTTTTTAATAAAAAAAAAAAAAAAAACATTTCACCAGGGCGACAAAATTTAAATTCGTAAATGGAATTCGCATACCAAACCAGGGATTCCGAAAAACAATCCAAATTTAAAATGCCAAAAACGTCACACAGAACACAATCACAACACTGCACACAGATAAAGGATGTCAATGGTATCAACATAAACTTTTTAAAAATACATCCACAAAAACACTTTCTAAAAGGGTTACAATCTTTTTGTCTATAGACCGCGTCAACCACGCGCCGCTCAGTCCGGGAGACTGACCTACGGAAAAGAGAGAGATAAACATGAGGATAGAACGAGACAGCGACAGCGTGCACCTGTGTACTTAAAAATTGAATGATTGTTGAAACGAAACGGATGTAAAACAATGCATACATTTGAAAGGGACAGAAACATAAACGCGCTCGCGTGCAGTACGACGCAAAAGACAGTAACTATAACGTCGCATAATTTATTTTTAACCTTACGATTGTAAACATAGAGATGATTATTATCCTCAGGAGGGATTGTTTTAAGATTTTCCTGTATGGATGATACAGTTTATTGCCAGGGTCAACATATGGCGAAAAGGTTCTGGCCAAATTCCATAAGCACACGACTTAACAATATGACGTTTTAAACTTGATTATTTTAACTGCATCATATTGAACTTGCATCATAAATTATAAAAGCAAAAAAGTAATTAAGTAAATAACTACCTATTTACATTATTAAATAAACAATTTTCTTTCATTTTCAATCAGTTATTATAGTTTTGATCCTCAAGTAATTAATATTTATATATAAATTTATATATTTAGTATACAGTCTTTATAAACCACATTACCAAAAAATATTTGGTACAAAAGAGCATTAAGTCCGCCTTTTGTTCAATAATTTTAATTAAATAAATTAAAAAAAAATATCAGGACTTATCTAATTACGCATGTTTAATTCATAAATCGTGCGACATTTAATTAACATAACAGAAATGCATAAAATAAAATATAAAATTAACATATTTTAATCGATTATGTGTTTTTTTTTTATTGGATGTAAATGGTATAGTAACCCCACCTGCGCTAACGGGATACGCTGGCGGGGCACCAGTGAATGGTGATCGATGAGGATGAAGACAGGTTAGTTAGCCCATCATGATAAATTCATCTGGAATTAATCATGATAGTTTCTAGGGGAAACCGCGAGGAAATCGACCTGGTTGGGTATATTGCTAGCAATGGGATTCTCAGTCTCCATTACTAACAATCCCTTTCCCCCCAATCGATTGTGTTAAACATTTCTATGCAAATGTAAAAACAATATTTTAATGACTCATCTGTTTTAACATATCGATCAAATATTACCACCTTATGTCAAGACATGAACGTCTCACTAGTGGAAACTGGTCGACTAGGGGGGGGGGGGGGGAGGATTGATAACCCCATATTAACAATATAGTCAAGTCTACCTCCAAACAGTCATCTTTGGAAGCAATCATAAGTAATCCCGGTGTGTTCATCACGACGGACCAATTGACCTGACATCATCCTGACCTAACCTGTATGAATGGGGGGGGGGGGGGAAAGGACCCTGGAAACCATCGTGACTGATTTATTGTTAGATTCGTCACGGTGGGCTAACTGACCTGCTTCATCCTCACCTATCATCCCTCACTGATACCCCGCCAGTGTATACCGATAGCGCAGGTGGGGTTATCATTCCATTATCATCCATTAAAAAAAACCTGAATGAATGAAGATATATCATAACCCCATCAGCATATACCGATAGCGCAGACAGGATTACCAATTCATTATCAGTCTACAAAAAAAAACCGGACAATATAGCCAGCTAAGGGAAGAGATAATTCACTACCCCATAGTACAATAATTTCATTGTCACATCTCATATTTTATTGTTACAAATTCCATATTTATTTTGTAAATTTTTAATGTTACTTTTTAATGTAAAAACGACCGGTTCAAAGTTATATAAAAAAAAAAAAACTTACGTATTATTTAGTCGAGAAATTTCGACTAATTTCATGACTAATAGTTCCGGATGATCCCGAAACTAGTCGAAGTTTCTCGACTAAAACGCTCGTAAGTTAAATCGATAGTCGTTACATTAAAATATATCTCATATTTCTGGAATTATATACAAATTAAGAATAACATCGAATCCCAATAAACTAGTTGGCTGACAGCAGCATTCGGCCTGTTTATCACCTCCTGGACAGTCACGGTCGCGGGTGAGGACACGCCTTTTGTTATATTAACCTTCAAAAACATCTTTTGCACGCACGGAACGAATTACTAAGTTATTATCTTTATTACTTATCATATTTATTTATTATATATTTTATACTATTATTTATACTGGTGTTACAGGCATTCATGGACTACGGTAACCCCGTTTACCATCATGAAATTTATTTTACTACAGAAATTTAGGGAACAGAATAAGATAGTCTGGTAAACAAAGTGATAGAGAATTGAAAAAAAAAAGGAATATAAATATCAAACTGAAATGAAGTAACTGAATCTGAACAACTGCCTTTAAGAAAGGTTGAAGGTCGGAATACCAAAATATTAATGACGACAAATTAAACTCTAGAAAAAGTCCAAATGTTTTACTCATAAAAGACAAAAGGTTTGTAGATTTGGTTTGGGGAAATCCAAATAATTTTCCATCGCGTTCACAGAAGTTTTTATACCCGTAATCCTTTGTAGATGTACTCGTATCGTTAATCTTATTGGTTTTAAAGGTGATGCATATGGACGGATAGATAAACAATGTTTTTAATCTCCTCAATTCATTTTACAACAAGTTCTAATTCCGTACTCATTGGCCAACAATGACGACCCACTTAATAGAACGTGGTAACCGTAGCCTGCAGACATGATCATGAAATGAATCGTGGGTGTTACAAAATATAACATGACACTAGTACCTCTAATTTTGCTATTCTTGACAATAAGATGCTATGCCTCTGTGCTTCGTAATTCACTGTCATATGAAGGATGTGGCAATGAATTACTTAATACAAGGGTACAGCCTATCTTTAAATCAAAACAGAGCCATGTAAGTACAGCTATTAGATACCAAAAACACGAGTAAAACAGAGATATTCAAGACCTCGCAGCGCATCTGGTGCGTTGGTTCATTTCCTTATGCACGTTTCGGCTTCAGTTTATATGAATTGATTTTAATTTCACACTCATTCATAATGTAACTGCTCTCCCACGCCAAAGATTGTTCCCACAAAACATGCTTCCGAGAACAATCCTCCACATCCTCAGATTGTAAGATCAAACTGAGTTCACTGCGAATTCTGCGGAGGAAACAACGGATTCGCTTGAAAATGTCTTCAATGTTTACACTATCGGAACACTGCTTTGCATCATTTAGGCGCCGGCGGTGTTTTGTGGTAAAAGCAACAACCTTTCATGAGATGAATAAACAAACAGATCGACATTACGTACTTGCACGCAGAGTTCAAAAATTTTAGGAAAATTATATTTTTTTACTGAATTTGACGTTATTACATTACGCGTATCCGCGAAATTCCATTTCACTTTTCGCTGGAATGGTATTCTTTTGTTAAATTCTTCTACCATTAGTATGAATGAGACCACTATTATCTAATGCAGAGGACTTTTAGTAAAAAATCCATAACCGTCGCATCACTGGTTGACACCAAATTGTCAACACTAGAGTTCCACACTCAGATGGATTTTTATGTTTGATATTCCCCATTAAAAGATATACGTGTCGCAAGAACTTCGAAACGGTCGGAAATTGAAAGACTTCTCAGTGAACTTCTATGAAGCCACAAATGGTCAAAAACTTGCGAAATGTTACAATAAATACGGAAACCATATTTCTTTCTACATTATTATCATAACGCCTAAGTCATGCCATTGTTAAGACGAACTTAATGACATTTCACATAAAATTTGTAAAGTTGTATAGAATACAGACTGCGACAAAGATCCAGAAGTACACGTACATATAAACATAACAAACAATTTTAGTCTCTACGAGTGAAGCCTACTATTACCAGATCTCCACTTGGTACAGTTTTATTTCGACTTTTCTTTCTTTGCCACTCTGCTTCCTTAGAGGCTTCTTACGATATCTTAAGGATAAAAAAGTACTCTTAGAGAGTTTTTCTGTAATACTGGCTAGAAATTTTAATCTGATTGTTATCTAGTATTAAGTTTAACTAAAATAAATACCCTAAAAATATTATCCCCTTTTTTAGGAATTGAAAAAAGTTTATGAATTTCCCTTTCTTTTGAAGTGGGTTACTAAACCGCAAGTTTACGTCACCTATCTAAAAGTCAAACTATTGTTTACCCTAGTCCAATACTTAGAACCGTTAACACAATATTTATTAATTCAACAGATTTTCCCAAAACATCAGGTAAAACAATCTTCAAAGATGCGCAGTATATTTTTTGTTTGGTAAACAAATATTGTCTGGATTTATTTTAATTTTTAATGCGAATTAATATGTTCGATGATAGATAAAAGGATAATGATTTTCTAGAGATTTCAAAAAGGAGGAACTTCGAAGAACTTCAACTCCACTGTTCCGCAAAATACGTACTAAAAAGTTGGTATGATTGATTAAGACAATGATTTAAGAATTTCAAATTATTTTTTAGCATTTGCGAAAAGTTCTCAAAGCAAAAATATAACTCAATATTATTCATATCTTGTAACATACAATAAAACAAAATATGATATAAAATAAATATATGTGAAATTTATCCGTCAAGAAACTTTCTAAGAATGCATACATGTTAATGGATTACAGGAAAATGATATTAATATTGTAACAAAATAATTAATAGTTGGTTCATGCCTCGGGGAACATATAAATCTATCTGTTACTTCACACCCATAGATTGTTGCAACTAATGCTTATATCTTGGACTTAGATTACTTGGAAGAATACGAGGTAAAGTTTATCTAGAAATACAATGTTCTTTTATTTTATTTATTTATTTATTCTTTATTGATCACATTGCAAAAAAAAAAAGGTTTGGTTCAAAAGGAGGACTTAATGCTATATAACATTCTTTTCTGGTCAATCTTTGTCAAAACACAAATGTAAAAATGAAAATGAATGAAAAATTAAACATTGCTGTAGATACACAGTTACAGACGCATCTATATTTCTTTGTTATAGAGATGTTTTTCATGGAAAAAGAAAGACAATCAAGTAGACAACTGACAAAGATACGTGGCTGCATTACGATTACATCGCACATTCTGAACAGATCTTTCCACAATCAATGGAGATTACTCCGCCGTTAATCTTGTGACGACTGAAGCTTTTTTTGGAGCAAAAACTATTTTTAAATTTACTTATAGTCACGCGATTCCGCGTTCTATATTCAAATACTTTCAATATAAGAAATCTACAAAACATTTTGTTGT